CTTAATGTTGAGAATTCGGTTGGGTGTCTCCTCAGATTGACAATGCTCAGATGTTAGTGGCACTTCTTTAGGCCACAGCTCCTCTCTTTGGCGAAGAAAGTTGGGACCTAGTGTCCATCGCGTTAGCAATTCAAATTTCGGGGGTGTTGCAATTCGAGTAGCATCATCTGCTACGTTAAATGACGTGGGCAACTAACGCCATTGTGATGGTTCTGTGTTGGTAAGAATTTCGGCAATTCGATGAGCGACAAATTGTTTATATCGGCGCTCAGTTGAACGAATCCAAAGGATGACCGGTTTTGAGTCACTCCAAAATATCGTACGCCTAATACGAATGCTATGGCTATTGACAATTGAAGTCATCAATCGGCAACCCAGTAAGGCAGCTTGTAGTTCTAGTCGTGGGACACTCATACCTTTGGCGGGGCACATCGTGTTTTAGCAGCAACAAATGCGACGTCAACTTCGCATCCTCTTAGCATGCGCAGATACGCAACGGCAGCATAGGCAGTGGAGCTTGCATCGGCAAAAACATGTAATTCTACATCATCGGCTGATGGTAATAACGGTGAATAACATCTGGGAGTAGAAAATTGTTCCACACGTTGGAACTCCTTCCACCATGCTGTCCAATAGGCTTGCATTTCATACGGAAGCGGCTCATCCCATGTTATTTGCATCTTCCAGGTTGCTTGTAATAAAAGTTTGGTGTATATCATGAAATTAGCTAAGAAAACCGACATAACGATTCCAAGCATCTCTCGTTTAGTTGGTGGGCGTTTACATTCCAAAACGTCTTTTGGCACTTTATTGAATTTGAAATGGAACTCGAATGTGTCTTTGTTTGTGTTCCAAAACATTCCCAGTATTTTCTCGGTACTATTTCCTCTTTCCAAGTTGAAGCTTTCTCCTTGGACGACTTCATCGTTATTGAGCTTGGCTTCAAAACTTTTGCAATTCGATACGAAGTTTCGAAGTTTAAACCCGGCGGCAGCATTAATGCGAATGGCTTCTAAAGTAACTTCTTCGGCTTCTTGCGTGCTGTCGAAACTAATGACGAGGTCGTCAACATACGTGTTTTCGATGACAGCGTTTGCGCCCATGGGCATCGGCTCCATATGGCTTTCAACGTTGACGTTTTTCACGTGCTCAGCGCAACATGGTGAACACGCGGCACCAAAAATCATCGACACCATTTGGTAAACTTGAATCGGCGTTGAAACGCACCCATTCCTCCGTAGGAATCACTGCGAGTCTTGATCGGCATCGCGTATTCTGACTTGCGAGAACATTTCCTGTATATCGCCCGCTACAGCCACAACACCCTGACGAAACTTAGCGATAATCGTCCAAAGCGGCTGAGCGTGCTCCGGTCCCTTTAGGAGTGCCGAGTTCAGTGATATGTTCGACGTAGCGGCGGCAGCATCGAATACAATGCGAAGCTTATTCGGTTTGCTTGGATTCACCACTCCAAAATGTGGCAAATACCAAGTGGTAGGGCTTTCACAGTTAGCTTCTTCAGGCTCCAACAATCGGGCATATCCCTTCGCGATATATTTGTCGATTTCTCTTCTATAATTGGCGGCAAAGGCGGCATCTCGTGTCATTTTGTTCTCAATGTTAAGCAACCTCTGTTTGGCCATGGCATAACTTTTAGGCAAATTTACATTTTCTTCTCGCCATAGCAGACCAACTTCGTATTGTCTTCCGATGTTTTTTTGTTGTTTCAGCAAGAATTTTCTTGGCCCGGGCGTCTGAATCAGATTCGAGCACAATGTCAGCATTTCGTACACCAAAACTGTCGGCAGCAAAATAGTCTTCGACCACCTTTTGTAGCTCCTTAAGCGCTTGACCCTCACGCAGATGAAGTACACGTGGCTCGTCGTTGCTTCGTGAATTAGTAGGACCAAATGCGGTCCAACCTAATTTAGTTAAGGCTGCGATGGGTTTGTATGGCCCATCCTCTACAATGTGTTCTGTCACCTCAAGGAAACAGTTATCCAAACCCAACAGCAGAACAGGCTTGGCATTATCGTAATTTTTTATCGGCAGCGACTTCAAATGTGAATGATCATCTCGACAGAAAGTTTGTGTTGGCAGATTTAGGCTTTTGACTGTGCGTATGTTCTTTATATCATACGTTGACGACTTCTCCGCATGACCCTTTATGGCCAAGGCTATTTTACGTGACTTCTCTGTTGTCTTCTTGTCGTCATACCATTGCAGTGTGAGTGGTGCGGCGTTTCCTCTAAGGCCTAGGCTGTTGGCTACCTTCTCCTCAAGTAGCGAAATCGATGACCCTTCGTCAAACATGGCGTAAACGGAAATTCTTCCTAGTGGACCTGACAAAATGGCCGGCAATATCTTGAAAAGGTGTGAAAGACAGCGTTCTTCACGGCAGTTGAGTATGTGCTCCCTTTCTTCGTTGTTTGGCGTGACTGGCTTTGGAGGCTGCTTGGCCTCAGAATGAAGTAATTGATTATGCAGGCGCACGCATCCATTTATGCCACATGGCTTCTTTTTAAAACAATCGGTCAGGCTGTGTCCAACCTGCAAGCATGAAAAACATAATCGGTTACGTTTTACAAATTTCCACTTATCGTCTATATCCAGAGCAGCAAACTGGCGACAACTGCTCAGTTTTTGACTTTGCTGGCATTGCAAACACGGCATATTTGAATTATCAAATGTCATCTCTTTGTTGTGCAAAACTCTCTTTGCACCCAACGCGGCATGTTGGCGATTGCTATTGGCATTAGCTAGACGAAAACCCAACGGTGTCGACGGCTGCGAAAAACGTTGAGCATTTGGCGCATGTATTGGCATCAGACTCACAACCCTTGCGAGCTCACTGAGCCAAGTCGAAAAGGTCTCCACCGTAGGAAATGGCGAAACGGGGGCAGCAAACTTCGTCCACTCATATTGTTTTGATTGCGGCATTTTGGTCACTAGTTGATCCAAAAGTGTTGTATTCATTAGGTGGTGTTCACATTTGGCAGATTTAAAGAATGCAACTATGTTGCGCACTCGATTAGAGAAACTCAATACAGGCTCAAGGCGATTCTCATAAATGACTGGGAAATTCTTGACTTTATCCAACTGAACCCGTACAAGCATGTCGGGGCGTCCAAAATTGAACTGAAGTTCCTCAATGGCTTTTGGCACATCGTTTGGATAGATAAGAAGCGATGTCACAGCATTCTTGGCGTCGCCTTTTAACGCCTTATGCAATCGCATCAAATTTTGTTTGTTGTTATACCCAAATTCAATAGTCGAATCAGTGAAATTGGCAAAAAATAAAGGCCAATCTTCTGGATTACCATCAAAAGGCGGCAGTGGGTACAGTTTCACCGCATAGTCCTCAGAAAACGTAAGAGTAGTTGCACGATGCGGCGCTGACAAAGATGTTGACGACGTCAGTAACGGTAATTGTTGTTGTGGCAACCCAAAAGTTGCAGGTTGCGGCGGTGGCGCAGTATATGTTGATGTGTGTGACAGAGGCAGAGTATATGCCGTTGACTGCGGCGGTGGCAAATTATATGTTGATGTCTGTTGCAGTGACAGAGTATATGCCGTTGACTGCGGCGGTGGCAAATTATATGTTGATGTCTGTTGCAGTGGCAGAGTATATGCCACTGACTGCGGCGGTGGCGTCGAAAGTGGCACTGGCTGCGGCTGTGGCGTCATTGACGGTTGCGAAAGTGGCAGCTCAGCATTTTGAATATCGGTCTAGCCTCACTTTCTATTCTGGCCCGGAGTTCCTTCATTTCATCCCGGCTGTGGCCAGTCTCTTGGCGAAGCTCATCCACAGATTGGCGTAAAAATGAAATGCTCTGTAGTAATGTAGCTAATTGTGTTTCAGATAAATTGACTTGCGGCTGTGGCGATTGTGCACCTGTTGCACCCTCGTTGTCAGGCATATTCACTATAGTTGAATCTAACAGGCTTTCCTCCGAACTATTGTCGCTGCTTTCCTCTGGAGCAGCAATATCAGTAAGCTTCGATTTGTTACGCGTTATCATGAAGACTCTTGAAAAGCGTATGTTGCAATATGGCGGCTTAAGCAAAATTGCAAACGCTTCACACAACCACAATAAAACAATTGTAAAAACTTATGTCAGAAAAACGAAACAAGCGAGTTAATTTTAAGTTGTATATTTAAATTCAAAAACTATGGCTCGCGGCCAGAAATATATAGCAGACAAATTTTCAGTTTTCGTTCTTAGACTTCGTTCGGCTTCGTTTTACAATTGGTGTTTTTGTCGCGGCTTCTTTGAAACTAATAACTAGAGCTGACGTTGACAATCGTTTTAAAAGGGAATGGCGTTGCCATTGTGTTGTAATAGAAAATGTCCCTTTGAGTGGCCAGTGTTGCCGACAACGCATATACCATGATGTAAGTCAATTCTTGAATCTATTGCGGTCGATCATCAAAAAGACTCTTCTTTTTGGCCACTGCAAAAGAAAAGGTAAAGTAATATTTATAATTAAGAACACCCATTCATTTTATACTCACGCATTGTCAATTTTTTCCAACTTGGCATATGCACTTGCTATGTTTTTGCCAATATATGTGTGACCATCATAAATTCCTTTCTTTGGCATACGTCAATTGTTGCAAAATAGCCTGTAAGAAAGGCGTAAACATAATAATGTAAACATCTTCAAATGCACTTCTACTTCTAACTTACTTGTAAGTCTCTAATCCGTTGCTCGTACATAAATTGCGACTGCGTCAAGGTCTCTATACGATTGCGGCCTTGGTTTACATTGGCCTTATCCGACAACTGGCGTATGATAAGCTGCGCCATTTCCAACTCATTTGACTTTTCTATGAACTGATGTTCAACATCGGGAGCACGTTGCTGCATTACATCTAAC